AGGTATTAGTAACATTCTCAACTAGTATGTCCAAAATTTTCCATTGACTTTCATCCCATCAGCTAGACTAAGAGACTTTAACACAGCCAAACTAAGAGATTGTCTGTGCCCCCAATGGGACCAGTACTGAGAGACTAAGAGACTTGAGCATCAGCCAAACTAAGAGATTGCCTGTGCCCTCAACACTGGTTGTGACAAAGAAACTAAGAGATTCCCGCCACGCCACTTTCTCGACTACATTTCCAGCAAAAAACTTTACTTTCCTTCTGATAATATTTATTAAGGAGATATTCTGCTTTTTCACGCCTCTTTCCTTGCTCAGAGTTAACAATGTGCTTGAGACTTTTTATATATAAGTCCAACTTTAGTTGGAATGGCTCTTCACTGCTTTCGTTTAGAAACCCTGTAATACTCCATTCAGTATGCGTTTTATTAAAACATTCGTGTATTATTTCGTTATCAGACATTATATTTCGAGGTAAGTTGATTGTGACTCGAAAACATGCATGCTTTTTTCGCCACACATGTAAATACGTATCTCATTTGGTCACGTGACTGTGACCTGCTTCATATATCATCTATACTTAATTTCGATATCGCCATTGCAGAATAGGATCGTACTCGCCCTATTAACCTCTCTCTATTATCACAAAATGGGTTTTTCGGTGGTACTATCTCTAACAGATGCAGTTGGCGTAATGGTCTTTTCATGATCACTGGTTATATTTTCCTGCTGAGATTTTTCCTTATTCAAAGTATTATGTTCCCGTTCTTGCTCCTCATTTGCGGATGTTGCTTCTATAGTGACTCTAACTTTACCTTTATCCGCACTAGTTCGATTTGTTGTCAGGACTTGTTCCACCTCCAAAGATTCATCAAGTAATCCCAAAGCTTTCATAAATTCGTGATTATTATTTTTTGCATTAAGCTTTTCTTTGATCCATGTGGGGACAGGTAATTTGGGTGTCTTGTCTTTGATGATAACCTCCGCAATATCAGACGCATTAGAGGTCGTTTCATTGTCATATATGCCCTCTACAGTATCCGCACTTTGCTGAGTCGATTTAGCTGGTTCTAGCAATGAAAGGTCGATTTTTATGGTTTCAATGTCTCTATGACAACCGAAGATGGGACATCTTGCCTCTCCCGGTGTCGAATATAGAATATCCTTCTCGATACAAGCTCTATGAAACACATGATCACAGCTTAAAATAGTAATTGATTGAGGTGGGTTAGATAAAATTTCTTCACGGCATTTCGGGCATGATTTTAGTTCTGGAACTCGGATACCACTCGCGATGATA